TACTAAATTGATGGCAGAAAAAAAAAATCCTACCCAGGCAAGGAATACCTTAATGCAGTGTTTACTTTCAATTAACTGTATTATTTGTTTTCACCAATAGGTAGATTGGTGACTAGTCTATATAATTTGTTATATAAACTTCTTATATAATAACTAGTGGCCTGGTGCATGAAATTCATGCGGGGGGGGAGGGGTTCATCAGCCTGGCCTGCACCCTCTCCAATCTGGGACCCCTCAGGGGATGTCCGACTGCCGGTTAGGCCCGATCCCTGTGGGACATCCCTCTCACAATCTGAGACCACTGGCTCCTAACTGCTCACCTGCCTGCCTGCCTGATCACCCCTAACCACTTTGCCTGCCGGCCTGCTTGCCCCCAACTGCCTCCCCACCTGCCAGCCTGATCACCCCCAACTGCCCCTCCTGCTGGCCTGCTTGCCCCCAACTACTGCCCCCCCCCACAGGCATGCTTGCTCCCAACTTCCCCCCTGCCAGCATGATCACCCTCAACTGCCCTCCCCTCCTGGCCTGATTGCCCCTAACTGCCTCTGCCTTGGCCCTGCCACCATGGCTTTGTCCGAAGGACATCCAGAAGGTCTCCTGGTATAATTAGCATATTACCCTCTTACTAGTATAGATGTTTTAGAGTCCAAAAATCATACCATTGTTGTTGGTATTATTGGTGATATCATACACTTTAGTTAGCTAAGCAACTGTAAATCACAAGTCTGATCATGTTATTTTGCTGATTATATAACTGGAATTAACAGTACAATAGAAAAGCAAAAATGCTTTAATTGGCCATTTGATTCACTCTGACTTTATATCTTAAAACCTTTCTTTACACACTCTCAGCTTTAACCAATCATGCCATTTGTTTTGCTAAGCCTGGGATGACCTTTGTCATATTTTTACTCATTCAAACTCTCCCTGTTTTTTAATGGTCACAATGATATTTCTCTGTATCACTACCGTATTTTATTTCCCTGACTAGATATGACCTCTCAAGATACAACTGAGTTATTATTAATAATAATTCTAAATGTTGAACTCTCTCATAGAAATTGTAAAATTTTACTCTGCTTGTTATAATATGGAGCTCGATGCCTACAGATTGTTTAAGAAAAAAAGAGAGATGGATATGTTTCTGTGTATTTATATAGGTATGTAAATGAATACATTAATATATGGTCATATATATTGTTGCTTTGAATATACTACATGTCAAATAAGCTCTTGATAAACTAAATTTATATATCTTTTATTTTGTATAAACTCTTAAGAAGAATAATATTGGTTTAAAGATATTGGCTTAAGGTCATACATAGTATTTTTACTCATATGAATTTGCAGTTAATTGTAAAATTTACCACAAATGTTAATAAGTATATATTTTTAAATATATTTATACAGTACAGCTTATAAGTAAATATGCATTGAATAAAATATAAGCAAATGAGTGAATAAATAAATGTGTCTTGTAGAGTAAAGCCTCTGCTCTCATTTGCTTCTGGACAAAATTAAATGATCATTTCACTTTTTAAATAAAACCTAATAATTTAAACACTTGCATAGACAACTATTGGCATTCTGATATTCAATTTCTTAAACACACTCTGTGGATAAAGTTTAATAAATTAAATATTGGTTCTATATATCTTGATATTATAAAGCAGAATGCCCCAAGAAAAATATACACTAAGACAAATGAACTACCATGTTGCATATTAGAATTTCAGATCAAGTCAGAATTAAATGTCTAATTCAATTAAGTAGCACTGCATAGACAACGATATAACAAATTTTAAAGAGACCAAGTAAATTGCACTTCTTCCTTGCAAGTTCTATAACTTTATTCTGTAGGAAATAAGAAGAAATAGAATATTGACTTAAGAATTCAAGTTAATCCTATTAGGTAACAATGTGATATTTTAAAGTATTTTCTAAATATACTTATAACTTAGAAATCCCTCAAGGTAGCACAAAAGTCAACTAAAGGCCTACAAGATATTATGACCATTTCCTTTATATGTGCAGCAAATTTCCCAAATGCTATGAATGCTGTGTTGACGTTTTGGATTTATAATCCTACTTTCTCATGGAAAAAACTGTGACAGTACATATTATTATTATAGAAAGTTATTTTCTTGTTTTATAGAATGCTATTTTGCTATGATTTAATTTAATGTTTCATCTTGAGGTTTTCTTATACTTATTATAGTCAAAGACCATACAATATATGTGAAATTCAAACTATTCTTTATTGATTGATTTATTTGGAGAGAGAGAGAGAGAGAGAGAGAGAGAGAGAGAGAGAGAGAGAGAGATTTGTTGTTCCACTTATTTATGCATTCATTGGTTGATTCTTGTATGTGCCCTGATTGGGGATTGTCAGGTCCTCGCCTCTCTGCTAGGGACCGGATCTCCTGGGACGCCAGGTATTCGACAGAGAAGCCATGAGAAGTTGTGGGTATATAAGAGAGTTTTTATTGTAGCCCAAGTAGCCATTGCTATGACAGGAGCTATTAGACAAAGCAGTTCTTCAAAGTAAAGTCCCATATAGTAGCCTTACACCAGCTAGGTAACAATACATCTTTCCTACAAAGTAGCAGTAGCCTCCAAATAGGAGCTATACAGGAGCCATCCTTAGAGCTACAGCCTCCCTAAGCAGCCGCCTCCCAGGCCCCTGCCTGCAGGTCAGTAACATTCTTTAATACTAACTTAGACAAAAAGGCTTCTTGCCAAATAGTGAACTCAGTCTTTTGGGTTATAGAAGGGCACACTTGCGTCGTGTACATACAGTAAGAGAGCTATGTCCTTGCCTCTTGCCCCTGCATATAGCAAAGTAACCTTGAACACCCTGATTAGGATTCCCATACTCAGAGTGGCCTTAAACATCTGGTGCACTCTAGATAGGGCCCCCACAGGGATCAAACTCAAATCTTTAGCATATGGGGACAATGCTGTAACTAATTGAGCTTCCTGGCCAGGGCCACTGTTTTTAAAAATCAATATACTCTAAGCAAATGCAGTATCCTAAGTCACACATTTCTATGCCAAAAACAAACAAAAAATTCATGATGGTATTTTGCTTTATTTGAAAACTGGTGTTGAATTTATTGTTCTTTATCTACCACAAAATTTAGTTTATTTAATGATAATTTTTTTTTACCAATAAAAACAAGAGTAGAAGTATGGAATAATAATGTAGAAGCCACTTTTATTAGTGTCTTAAGAGTCATTAAAAGTTGAATCAGGAAATGTTTAGTGAAATTATTTACTATTCTGACTTTATATATGAGACAAATATTGCAAACCCTCAGGAATTATGAGAGATGCTTTTAGTAATTTAGTAAACAGTCTCCCAGAACAGACAAGTAAATCCAGCAATAAATAGGAAAGTATAAGATAAGTGCCACAAATCCTTTAAAACCCCTGAGAATTGTCACTGCAGGCTACACAGTCAACAAAAATAATTCATTCAACTGTCTGCTCAAGTAGAAACGTGCTTCAGCTAGAAAGTTTAAATTTCATGCACACTAGGAAAGAAAAGCAGTTCTGGGGCCTCAGAGTTTCAAAGTCCAACTAGGTTTAGAAAGAAATATTTTTGTTGTGTTATCAATATAACATTAATATAACATTAAAAAAAGAGTGCCTAGGTATGCATGTCTTAGATCTAAATGTATACAGGAAAGAAAGAAATGGATTATCATAAAATCTAGACATTTATTTTTGGAAGGAGGGAGAAGACTGATAAAGAAGGGGCTGAGAGGGTGGCATGTTGGGTACTAATAGAGGTCCTTTTCTGATTTGGGTGAAGGGTGCATGAATTAACTTATAATTTATTGAGCTTTTCACTTTCAATTTGCAGCATTTTCTGTATGTGTATTGTATTTCACAATGAAAATAGTTTAACAATTTAAATTGCTTAAGAAAAGCCATTTATAAAGAAATGAATTTACCTACATAAGCTTGTTCATTCTATTTAACTTATTGTAAATTTTCAATAATAGTTTATTAATTTTAATAGTAATGCGACATAAGGACCATGAAAAGTAAGAACACTTTTCATTACCCCTCTACCCTAGCCCCTGGAAACCCAGAAAATACAAATAAAATCACTCTCTTCTATCTCCCGTGACAATTATGTACCTATTTTTGTTGTGTTATCAATATAACATTAATATAGCATTAAAAAAAGAGTGCCTAGGTATGCATGTCTTAGATCTGGGCATCAATAAAATCCCCAAGGGAGAGGAATGGGAAAAGGCAACTAAGACAATGAAAACACCCATCTTCCATAAAGAAGGGGCTGAGAGGGTGGCATGTTGGGTACTAATAGAGGTCCTTTTCTGATTTGGGTGAAGAGCAACATAGAGAGTATTCAATATTCTCAAATCCACCGGAAGTCATGGGAATGGAAATAGAATTTTTATTAGGTTTTATAATAAGGATGCCATCAGTGACTTTAGTGATAATTTCTAGTGGAGTAAGATCAGAATCCAGAATATGTAAGGCCTCATTTTCTCCAACTTTCCATGTGTAGCACCCATCTCTGCTACTATGGGTATGTGCCTTTATGAGAGCCCGGATTTACCCAACAACACAGACTAACTGATATTATCTGGGTGTGTCATCATGTCCATTTTGTTATTTAGTGTTTCTTCAGTGGAGTCCACTCCTGGTGAGGGATAGATAAGGAGTCATGACAGATCTTTACACTCTGTGCCACCTCTAATAGGATGATATTTATCTCTTCCTCATGCCTCATTGTCCTCAACCTCCCAATCTCTACCCTTTCAGACCTCAGACCAGCTTAGCCGTTGGCCACTGCCCAGGACTCTGTGCACACTTTTACTTCAGGTCATTTTCCTCTCCACAGAAAGGGAATGACCAGGAGAATTCACTTTGTCTAAGGTTCTTTAACAGGAAATTTTCTTTCATAACTGCCTTTGATGGCAGTCCCTGAGTGCAGCTGTGTTTCAGCAACAGGATATTCTCACCTCTCCACCTACAGCCCCAGGGAACACATGAGTAAACTGAGGCTGGGATATTTCCTCTTCTGTCAGCAATTCAAAACAAATCCTCCATGAGACCAGAGGTGTGAGCTGAGCTTGAAGCATGAGTGCAGCAACTGTAGGTGATGTGGGGTTCTGTGCCAACTGCTTGTGCATTTTATTTATGTGAGACAGGGATCAAGGTGCATGAGATTTATTGAGAGATTGTTTATAAGGAAATAATATAATGGATTGGGGAGTAATATAGGAATGTGAAGAAGAAAAAAATAAGCAAGAAAATAGTTTGAAATAGTCTAACGATGGCGAGACAAATGGAACGTGGTGGCCATGGATATGTTATGGGCCATCGTTGTGGTGCTAAATTAAAAACTCAGGTGAAGAGACGGATGCTAACTGAGGAAAGTTCTATAGAGAGGGAAGAGCTGTGAGCTCTTTACTACCCCAAATAACACACGGGGCTGGGTGCACAGGCGTGGCTAGGCGAATCTGAGCAAGATAGTGACATCAGCCACAATGACCTCTGCACAAACATAGTTTTAATATGTACAAAATGTAAATTCCCAGCTCATATATCTTCTCTGGGATTATAATTCATGTATTCAGGGCCTACTTGACATCTCTACAGATATATCACTGACACCTCAACCCCACTACTCTCAATAGCGTGCTCTTAATTTCTCTCGATACATGGTTTCTGTTGTTCTTCTTGGTTGTAAAAGACATTGATATTTACTTACTTGTTCATAATGTAAATCTCACAGCCATCTTTGATATCTTCTTCTTCAATAATATCTATATTCATTCCATTTTTGCAGCAGATGCTGCTACGTTCCTATCCATATCCTCACGGCTCTTATTCATGTTTATGCTCCTGGCTAGCTATTACAAGTGCCTGTAACACTTCACCCAATGTCTTTCTCTGGCACACTCAGATAACATGCGGGGCAGATTGGAAGTGCTGGAAAGTGAATAATTTAGAAGCAATCTTTAGATAATGATGTGTGGGATTTGGAAGATTGATTCCCCAGCATCCTCTCCCCTTGTATAGGACTCTGATCAGGAATTCTCTACACTGTCTCCTGAAGAACTCAGCAGCAATGGGCTCCAAGTGTCCACAGTGGAATCATTTTTTGATAACACATCTGAATTAGCCTCCATTCCTTTTTCATCTCACATCTACCTGCCTGAGTAGTGCTTCTCTGAATCATATAAAAAGAGTTATTGCACTTAAACCTTTGTCTAAATTCTGCTTCATAGAAAACTACACTAATAAATGCACAAGTCTGACCAGTTTATTCCCTTACTGCTTTAAGAATCTGTACTTTTACTTACATGGCCATAACATAAATCCGGTTTCCTATCATTTCTCGGCTTTGACCAGCACTGCAATAGCTTTCAAACTTCTTTCCAAAAACCCATTCTGCATCTCTTTAAGCCATTCTAAATACTGTAAACCCTGATGTTTCCAAAATGCAAACATGACAATATATTAAAACTACTTAATGGATTATATGGATTTCAACTTAAAAGCCAATGCATTTTACATAGTGTACAATTTATGGTATATTTTCACTCAGCATCCATTTCACTCAGATCCAAGCACCTTTCTGAATTGCAATGAGTGAATAAATACTTCATTTCCTAGGCTAATTAGCAGTGTGGGCTTAAGATAGGAATTATAATCTCTCACTGAGATGTGCTTCCCTGAAACAGAAACAGAATTTTAAGTTCAAGTTCTTTATTACAGCCAGATGCTATGATGTTGAAAAATAAATTTTGAAAGACTTTAGTGTTTATGATTACCAGGGTCGCATTTCATGTTTAGACATATGTTTACGTGAAGAAATAGTACTAATAGTACTAATTGTACTGATAGTACTAATGTCAGTACTAAAGGCAATGGCCTTCTGATCTTTGGAAAGGCTTTGTGAAGGTGACCTACATAGCTAGTCATGTGGCAGCATGTAAAATGATATTTCTCCAGTTACTCCAAGAACATTTAAAGGTCCTAATTTCCTGTGTTAACTCTCTTCATGTTTGGAATATCTGGAATGATTTCTCTTCTAAGCACCGAAACTTGATTATGCAAATAACACAGCACCTAGTTGATTTGCATATACTTTCCCAGCTTCAGCATCCACAGATATCTTAATTTTCTGCATTTCAGTCATCCGGCTTTTATTATTTTACTGTTGTATGAAAATCTCATGCTCACTCCAGCTGCAGAGTTATTTCTTGCTTCTCAACACTTCCCAACGGCATTTCAAAAATGCCTTTTAGCCTCTGTTATCTAAATAATCACTACTCTAGGGAAGCCTCCCTGAGGTCCTACTTCACTAAATTATTTATCAAATTATCTACTTATTTCACCTCTTTCATATAAACATCCATTTTGAAATTGTTCATCTTAAGTGTGATTATTTAAATATTATATAACTCATCAAAACAAGGGCTAAGTTTCTGAAACCAAGGCTGACTGTTTAGTCCTTCTATTCTAATCCCTAGAACACAGCTGGCCTAAGGAAGAAATTCAATAATTTTCAGTGAATGTTGTTGAGAGAATTAGAAAAATGAGGAGCTATTTAGTGAAATGGTATTTCTGTTTGAAGAAGTTAGTGATGGGATCCAGACCTCATGTTGGCAACTTGATTGCATGTAGGAAGAACCTTGTGCCACTATGATGGGAAATAGGAAGGAAAGACAGCTGTTGATATTTATTGATGGTGTGTAAGAAATTAAGGGCTGTATTTTCTCCCTGAAGCAAAATATTAAGGAGTCTGCTGGTAATGAACAGAGTTGTAATTGGGAGATGATCCAAATAGAGGGGAACATATTGAAAACTTCTACTTTATTAATGGGAAAGAATGTTGACTAGGAAAATGAAAGAACTACAGACAGTTTTGAAGACACACTTTAGAATCAAGAGAAAATATTATAAAGATACTAGTGTGTGCAGGTGATTTAATCAACCATTTCATAGTTTCAGTAAGTAGAAATAATTTAAATGACCCACATTCTAGGCATTTTATCATGTCTGTGCTAGAATAATAAGGCAACAATAAGGCAATGCTGAAGAATACTGACAGAAACATGGGTTCTATTTTAGAGACAGACTAGAAAGGGTAAGATGCCTTTAAATGGAATAAGTTAAAAATTCATAAAATAGCAATATTTTTGGAGTCATAAACATAAGCAGTGGGAAGAACAGAGGTCTGGAGATATATGAATATATGATCAGAGTATGAAAATTTAGAATCTAATATTCCAGAGTTCCTGAAACTAGTGTAAAAGAGATATTTTAAAGATTCTAAATCTGATAATTCAGTTCCTGGTTAAGTGGGGCTGTATCTTGATCCCATCTCAAACACATAGGACTGGCACAGGTGAAAGGGATATTTCTCCATAAAAAAGTAAGAGGTTCTAATACCAGATTAAAGGAAATCGGATGTTGAATTGACAAAAATTATATATGTCAATGGAAAGTTCTTTAATTGTAACAAATACTGTTTTAAATCAATTTCATCTACCCACTGTCAGGAACACATCATGCTCTGTCATTTAGAATCATAAAACAGAAGGGTAATATAAATTCAGCAGTAAATTTAATAAATTAATGTGATTAGTTTGAGGAAAACACAAAAGAAAACAAGGATTCAATTCATTCAACAAATACTTGCTGATCATCTATTATGTTCAGAAACTCTGTGTGTGTGTGTCTGTGTGTGTGTGTGTGTGTGTGTGTGTGTGGTTGAAATGCATCAGATTAAAATCTGATCTTCTAGAACTTAAATTTTAATATTAGGTTTTATAACCAAATTTAAGCTTGTACCACTCACTACATGACAGCCAATAAGTCAAGGAACAAGGTGCTGGGGTAAGAAAAGCAACTTTATTTGCTAAGCCAGAAATCCAAGAAGATGGCAGACTAGCATCTTAAGAACCATCTTAAGGAGGTACAGAATGCGTGCTCCTTTTACATTAAGGGGAGGGGCAAGGGATGATTGAGGACCATAGACATTTGGGCACCAGCAGGGATCCCAGGAGGATCATGCAACTTCTTTGTACTTTAAGTGTGTTGAGTCTAGTTGATGTGATTCCAGGTATGAGGTTGAACATCTCCTTGGGAGAGGCAGTTTCCAGTAAGGGGCTGTTTTTGTCAAAGTCAATCTGCAGCAGAATTCCTCCAAATGCTACATGCAAGATTCAACAGAATCTATTAACCTAAAGGTCCTGGAACAAATTAGGCTTGAGCTAGATGAGTCAAAGAAGCCAAGCATTTCACTCTGTTACAGTTGCAACAGACAGACAATAAACACAATAAATAAGTGAATCATATAGTTGTTTAGAAGGTAAAAAATTGTAACAGAAAAATAAAAAAGAAGACACAATACCAAAGTTTAGAGAGTTTGAGTGGTTGACATGTATAGCGCTGACTTGGCACGTTGTAATTGGTGCTCAGAGTATGCTTTATTGAAAAGGAACTACTGCTGATGGAAGGAGAAAGGGGAGTTAGCCATAGGAATCCCTGGGATAGAACGCATCTCGTTAGAGAAAATAGCTAATGGAAAAGCCACGAGTTGGAGTGAGCCAAGTGTTTTTGGTGAAATACTAAAGAATCGAGGAAATTAATATTTCAGGGAGTGTTAATAACTGGAACTAAGTGGTCAGGAGAGAATGTGAGCGATGAAACAAGAGACACAATCACAATGTGAGGTCACTTAGGGCCTCAGTTGCTCTGTTTGAAATGAGGAGCCGTTCAAGGATTTTGCACTAGGAGGTAACTTGATCTGAGCTATGTGTGAGAATGTTACACTCCCTGATGCATGAGGCTGTCAATAAACTATTGACAATGTACAGTTGCTTTGGAATATTCTGGCATTGGTTGGCTTTTCGTTTACAAAGTGTGTAGTCCCAGCAGTCCCTGTTTGGATGGGTTGAGTTTCAGGGAGAAGAAACTCCAGAGAAACCCCCTGCTCTAAAGGGCAGTACCTAAACACCGTGGTTTTCTGCAGCCACGCCCATCTCTATGCAGGTGAAGGAGTCAGTGTCACTGGGAATACACTTGCATTAAGTAATAGAGAATCTATTGCTAAAGGGTCTTCTTCCTGTAAAGAGATACCATTTTCTTCTGATTAGATGTGTGCAGTTCCAACTAT